GAATTCTCTACGCCCCGAATTCCATACTTACCGAATTCTCACGTCCCGAATTCTCTACGTCCCAAATTCATTACGTCCCGAATTCCACACGTCCCGAATTCCACGCGTCCCGAATTCCACACATTCCGAATTCCTCACGTTCCAAATTCCTCACGTCCCGAATCTCTCACGTCCCAAATTCCACACGTTCCGAATTCCTCACGTCCCGAATTCTCTACGCCCCGAATTTCTCACATCCCGAATTCCTCACGTTCCGAATCCCTCACGTCCCGAATTCCTCACGTCCCGAATACCTCACGTTCCGAATCTCTCACGTCCCGAATTCCTCACGTCCCGAATACCTCACGTCCCCGAACCCCTCACGCCCCGAATTCCTCCACACGTCCCGAATTCAACACGTCCCGAATTCCACACGTTCCGAATTCCTCACGTCCCGAATTCTCTACGCCCCGAATTTCTCACATCCCGAATTCCTCACGTTCCGAATCCCTCACGTCCCGAATTCCTCACGTCCCGAATCTCTCACGTCCCGAATTCCTCGCGTCCCGAATTCCTCACGTCCCGAATCCCTCACGTCCCAAATTCTCTACGTCCCGAATCCCTCACGTCCCAAATTTCTCACGTTCCGAATTCCTCACGTCCCAAATTCTCTACGTCCCGAATTCCTTACGTCCCCGAATCCCTTACGTCCCGAATTACTCACGTCCCGAACTCCTTACGTTCCCAAATTCCTCACGTCCCGAATTCTCTCTCATCCCAAATTCCTTACGCCCCAATTTCTCCACACCCCGCCTCCCCATATCCCGATTTCCCCTCGTCCCAAATTCCCAGCGAATTAAAAATCATCAAAAATCACCAAATGAAACCAAACTCCTGTTTGCCACATGTTCCCCATATAAACTGGAGTCGCTATTGACTGTACCACTATAAACTGCACTCGTGGCGAATGCTGAAGGTTCGCAATGTTGTTCGTAAAGGAGATTTCATTGTACCCAGAAACACGCTACCAGTAGCATAACGATTAGGATGCATTGTGCACGGCCAGTGTGGACCAGGGTTCCATGTGGCAGAGTACGGTCCTAATGCGTCCAGTGATACAATTACCGTGGCTTTATATCGGGTGGAGTTGTTCCTGCGGTAATTAAATTGATCGTTCGACTATTCTTACGTGAATTGGTTATTTGAAATGCATCGAACTGATTTTTTGTGTTACAGATTTTTTTTAAGGTTCTTTTTTGGGGTTTGTGTTGTACCTTTTACAGAGAATGATAATATGAACTGATGTAGATACGAAAAGATAGATACTTTTAAAAAAGATAATACAATTTGTAATAGATAATACGTTTTTTATACTTGAAATTGGATAATGAATATAATAAAATGTTATGAAAATATTAGGTAACGTTTGTTGGAGACAAAATGAACAACAACATTAAACCCTCATGACTTGTCAGGTACGTCAGAACTAACTAGTCACGGCTACAATTAAGCTTAACAATGGAACTACCAATGTTAAATGCATACTTCTATATTGAAAATGAAGTGAACAAATAAATAAGTACTGAGACATCAACCAACAACTATTCCTTGTCTAAGCAACATATGACAGGCAACATATTTTGTAACATAAAGTATGAAACTTGAGAGCAGTCATTTTGACTGGCTGTTCTAGTATTAAATTTCATATCGAAGTGTATTTAAAATTTGACTAAAATTTGTCACTGTTGAAGAATAAGTGCGTTACATGTTGAAGACGGTATTGTAAGGCAAAGTTAAAGAACAAAGCATCCACAAACAACGTGTCTATACGTTGTACCCTATACGCAAGTTACAAACAATGCACGAACGATTCAAAGGGGAGATTGAAAGTTGGACTCTTTTATAGGGAGGCTAGTCCATCGAGAGATACCGTCATTGTTAAGTAACAAGCACGCGAATGGTAACGTCAAATAATATTAAGTTACGAATTCCACTGGGTAATGCCGGTCTGACGGCGAAAATCGATTTCCGCGACAACTAGTTTCTGCTTCGCATTTCCCCCTACGACCAACCCCCCATCGAGCCCGGTTCACGCCAGCCGATTTCACCCCCGTGTGTCTCTGCACACCGTCGAGATCTCTCTTTTCCCGAGCCGGTGATTCCTCTCGTTTCGGCTCGTGAAGCCTTCGTGATTCGTTAATTGCGAACGACGAGCTGAAGAATCCACCGCGGAAGATCGATAGACATTTCCCTAATTTCCGATGAAAGGAAACTCTCCGCGAATTTCAGTTTCATTAATTTCCAAGATCTTACCCTTATCAACGGACCGCTGAAAAAATTCCAATCACGATCGAAAAGAAAATTTTCATCGGCGATCGCCGGTGAATATAAAGCAGAGCGTGATTCGGTTCGATCGAAAATATTGTTCGTGCATTAAGATATCTGTTGTAAGAATTCGACAATTGGGTGGTAGAACGAAAGATTTCTAATCCGTAGAAAATACGTAAGATTCAAGATAAGAGATAAGTTTAAGATAAATATTGCGAAGCGTGGAAATTGAAAGACTCGAAAGTTAAATTGGAATGACGAAACGTTTATGAATCCTTGGGATTTGAATTTCTGTATTACGAATTCCTATATTCTGAATTCCTACGCTCCAAATACTCTACGCCCCGAATTCCTTACGTCCCGAATTCTCTGCGCCCCGAATTCCACATGTCCCGAATTCCTCGCGTCCCGAATTCCTCACGTCCCGAATTCCACGCGTCCCGAATTCCACGCGTTCCGAATTCCCTGCGCCCCGAATTCTTCACATCCCGAATTCCACACGTCCCGAATTCCCTGCGCCCCGAATTCCTCACATCCCGAATTCCACGCGTCCCGAATTCCTCACGTCCCGAATCCCTCACGTCCCGAATCCCTCACGTCCCGAATCCCTCACATCCCGAATTCCTCACGTACCGAATTCCTCAAGTACCGAATCTCTCACGTCCTGAATTCCACACGTCCCGAATTCCCTGCGCCCCGAATTCCACGCGTCCCGAATTCCTCGCGTCCCGAATCCCTCACGTTCCGAATCCCTCACGTCCCGAATCTCTCACGTCCCGAATTCCTCACGTCCCGAATTCCTCACGTCCCGAATTCCTCACGTACCAAATCCCTCACATCCCGAATCCCTCACGTCCCGAATCCTCTACGCCCTGAATTCTCTACGTTCCGAATTCTCTACGTCTCGAATTCCTCATATCCCGAATTCCAATTTTTGTGTGGTAGAAAAAGGAAATACGTAAGATTCCTTTAAGTGTTAAAAATTGCAAAGCAAGGAAATTGAAAGATACGAAAGTTAAGTCAGAACGGTGATAATGTCCCAACAAATCCGATATCGCTGTTTTTCTTCCGGTAAATATGTTCGCGGAAGATAGGAAACATTCGAACGGAATAGATTTATAGACAGTGGCTTACAATAAGGCTAATCTGATTCAATAATCTCGTTGTTGAACTCTCTTTATACGTATCATTCAGGAGCACCCTGTGTAATCGCGCTTTGGTGCTACTACCGGAAACTCCAAAGCATCGTTATCTCCGTAAGCGTGGAGTTTCTATCCTCTGATCGTTTAATATCCCTCAAGGGCTCTCATAACTGCTATTCGTGGCTCATTATCCACGATAAACGATCGATGAAACGCGGTTTTGACGTAAGCTTTGGTAATTCGATCTGACGACTTCGTACTAAACATACGGAGCCACTGAATTTATGACACCAGTGAAGAAACGAACTTTCTACCATTTCGATTTTTAGTTTGCTTGCTTGATGAAGTTTGCGCACCTTTGATAAATAATTAGTTTTGTTATAATAATAAATAAATTTTATTTACTTGTAGTACTATAAATAAATAATTGTTATTATATATTTATAATACTATTGTTATAATTATTTATAGTTCTATAAATAATTGTTATTCATTATTATACTGTATAATAATAATATAACATTAACTGTAATATTATTATTATTATTATTTGATTTCTTTGTAGTTCTATAAATAATTGAAGAGTGGAAATAAGAACTAGAAAACCATTTATCAAAATTATTCATGATAAAATATAAAACTTGCTGTTTACAGGTGAATATTACCCCCAATATTTATTGAAATTAATTTTTATGTAAATACTCTAAAATTTTTAAAAGACAAATGAATTTCTGAAAGGTTTATTCCCACTCTTCAATTGTCATATATTGCAGTGAATATAATATTAAGTATACTATTATTATTCTAATTTGTTTATTAATATGGCTAAATAATTTTTCAATGACATACACCGTTAAATTATATCTATAATAATAAATAATCACTGAAAACTTAATGTTTAAGCTGCTATCGAAATAAACTATAAATGAATCTAAATTATAAAATAAAAACGTGTTCACTAGTATTGACTATAGTAGCAGTACAATTACTCCTACCCCGGACTCTTCATGTAACAAAAATAAAGAAACTCTCACCATCACAAAATATAAGCTAAAATAAGATATTAAACTTTAAACTGATTCACTGCTTGTTCCATGGAGGTGTCGTACTTCGCACGTTTCGATCCGCCATTTACGCAATAACGTAATACATATCGAAATGGCGGATCAGATTGCAAAATGGTTGAAAGCCATTCAATTTCCTGTAGGATTTCGGGACAGCTTTTGTACACGTTTCATGAGTATAATGGTACAGAGGATATACGGAAAAATTGTTATTGCATCAATTACAAATTGTCTGTATATTTGACTTTCGCTAATAGTAATAATAGTAGTAACCTTAATCATTGTAATCATAATGTACCGCATGGTGATAGTCACGATGACGTACGGATAGATAGAATAATAATAATAACAATAATGCAATCATAGACTACTAATAATTATATAATATTTAAAAAAAAAATAATAATAATAATCATCACTACCATCTTTGGGAAACAGTGTGCAAGATGATAAAAATTAAAGGTAACTGGATGGAAGTTTCGAAAAAATGAAAGGAACCGAAAGTGACGAAGGAATAAGAGAAGTTTTCTCGCACAAAATTAAACCGTGGGAGTTCTGTTTGAAGGAAGTAATATTATTGTTTATAATATCGGAGTTCCCTGTCATTCGTAAATAACCGTCCATACATTAATAACATTCAGCAGAATATTCGATCGTTCTCTTAATCGCATACACGCGCGCGCGCACTCAACGATCACTCTCCGTTCCTTTTCTTTCCATCCGAGCTCAATAGAAACCCATTTTTTTTCTTTCGTTCAAGAAACAGTCTTTCGTTGCACTAATTACGTGTCCTCCTCTTTGCAACTACCTTGGCAAAATATTTTTGTTAAAATACAATAACGAGAGGTTGTAGTCGCGGGATTAGAATCACAACTGATATTTTGGCAAATGGGATTGACAGTCGTTTTTCCGGAGTTCAGGTGCGTCGAGAACCGGAATAAGACAAATTGAGGGCAAGTGTAATACACTGACGTCTCGCTATATGACTCCCATTTATATGCCCGCGTTCAGCGAATTCCTCTTCACACGGAATTCCTCTTTCACGCACACTAATGACGCTCGATTTCGACGATGCTACAATTTCGAAGACTACCGTTTATTGTTTCTCATTAACAAATACCCTCCGTTTAATGTAAATTTCCAAATGGAGAAGTTGAATATTGGATCTTCAAATTCTCAAATCTTTTAATATAATTGTAATGTAGTTGTCTCAAAATTTCTGCAAAATTTTAAAACTGATAAATTTTAATTTCTTTACAACAAATTTTACTTGCTAACAATTTAAAATTTCTTGATTTATTACATTATTTCCTTTAAGGTCATATAGCGAGACTACATTGCAACATTATTCTAATTCTAATCAAGATTGAATATAATTGTACTTAACATTATTGGTACGAATAGTACCTGAATTAAAACAATTTATAAAACTAAAATTATAGAATTTTTATATTTCTTATTTTCTTATTAATATTATTGTAAATAACTATGACTATTAAAACCAGCGACTACTAACCAGACATTACAGTAATACAAATAAACGCTTAAGAAACCTTATTCGAATAAATTCGTAAAAACTTTGAAACGTATGCTTCCTTTTTGTTTCAATAAATAAGTACATTACATTATTCCACTTATCGTATACCACGTCATATATTTATTTATATACAAATAAATAAATGAGTGTACAATACTACATGTTTAAAACCCCAAGACCTTATGGTCTCTTTAATGAATTATTGCTAAAGATTTATTACTTATTTGCAACTTCACTTTTTTGAAAAAAGAGAATCAGATCTGTGTATATCCGCGATAATTTATTAATAACCTGTTATTTATTTAAATATTGAAACGAATTGTTCATACAAAAGTTAGTATGTTGAATTCCAATTTTTTTAATATTGCAGTGAAATATTACTTTCAAAATATATAAAAATTCATAATTAAAGTTTTATCTACCTTAACTATTGTATAAACAATTTTTTTGTATATTCAATATTTAAAGAAATAATTGGATCATCACAAATTAACACTACTTCATTTCAGTCCGAGAGCTATTAAAAATTAATACAAATTATTTTTGTGTCGTATCATACAATTGGAAAGGAACTTTGGTCTATAATTTACACGAATCAAAAAGAAATTCAATCTCAAGTTCGCTACCAGTGTCACGAATCTTTAATTAGTTGTACAAAAGTTTTCGTTAAGACAATTTATTAATATTTTACAGTGAATAAAATTATTGCAACTTTAAAGGCAAAAAAGTATTGCAGTAAAATCTATATTTTCAGAAATAATTTCGCAAATGTTTGTGTCGCTTCAGTATTTATTGTACACTGATTAAAAAAATTAAATATACAATGACTTCAATTAAAAATACAGTTCATCCTATGTTTATGCAAGTTGACTAACATAACAAAACAAAACACATAAGTTTCATTAAAATACATTATAACTAATTACATATGTCTAATGGAAACTTTTGCACATCCCTAATAAGACCTTTTCAAATTGTGAAAGAAACAACGTAACATATTAACAATGTAGATATTTTGACGTTATTTCGCGTGATTTAACATAAAAAATATAGTAAATTTTTTAATAAACGCCGATAGCGAACGTATCAAATGCAGCGCCTTTCACTTCAGTTTCTTTTCGATTTTGTCATCATACAAAATATCAGTTTTAAAAAATCGCTTTACAATTACACACTGAACCATTCAAACTAAAAGTACTTCTAGTGGAAAGTTCCATGCGAAACATTGTCGAATAATAAAGTCAGGCATCATCTATATGCTGCATACGTTAATGTGAACAGTACCGAGCACAACTTCATGACAGAATATACAAATGCTGCAATTCAATGTAAAAATAAAGTATACAATTATAAAATTTGGCCGCTTATAATTCGATTGCAGCGCCGCTATTTTAGCGGCAGGTTTGCGAAACACACCATATTTCAATCTGGGAACTTCACCATAAAAATATCAGAACCTGTTACAACCACGCTTTGTAGCAAATGGTGATCCTTCCTCTACATTTTCCCTAAGAATTCAACTATGCTCGGTACTGCACTTTGTTATTAATAATTTCAAACATTGTATAACTTTGCGTATATCAGAATTTATTGTATTCTCTATCTTAATTATAGATGTTGCGTAATTCCGATTTATTCGAGAACAATATGAATGTAACTTAATCGGTTAACTTTCAAAATTAGTTCTTTTCGTGTACGAAATTATAAAGTTATGTATGTCACTTTTATGTGAATATTTTTTACGATCATGGTACATCAATCGTCAGGAATAAACCGTACAACATACAGTATGTTCTAGTTCGAATTGTATACACCTCGTTACTTCTTCAATTACTTACTCGATACAACAAAATTTGTTATACAAAATGAGTTACTTGTGCGTAACGTAGAAAATATAATTGCGTTAAAAAAAAGAAGACATTTTTCATTCGAACTGAATGGCTTTTGTATAAACAATTTTGTCAAGTATATGTAAATAATTGAAAGAAGCAACGAAAGTGGATACACGTTTAAAATGGTAATATTATACTTGCGAATGTGTTTCGCAAAGAGGAGGGTGCAAGTAGAACATAAGAAGCATATTAGTAAATACCTTAAAAAAAAGAAAATTGTTTTTCTTTGTGTTATCACTTTACATTTGAAAAACTCTTAATATAAATCTACTAATTGTAAAAATGCAATTTATCCGACGCCATGCATCACGTCATCGTATTATCATCGTCATCGTCGTAATTTTAAATCGTAGAAATGACATAAAAATCCTTCGCTTACTAAAAACTATACAGTTAATAACATAAGTAGTTTATCCTTATTCCTAATTTTCATTATTACAATACTCTCCTCCACTTTTTAAGTCCATCAGTATTTTTCCATTATCTCGTTATCAAAGAACAGCGTTCGTTCTTGTCCTTTTTTCGTTTCAAAAGACATTTTCTAACATGAACTTTCGATACAATAATAATATACGTGATTATGATCGATTGGATATTATAAAAGCGATCTTTTACGAACAAGTTGGAATTATGCCAAGTGTATCGATGATAAAAGGAATCCGCTTACTTAATTGAGAATTATTTCGAATACGTATATTGTACATACTTTTTCCCTTCATCACGAATCGTCGTTCATTGATCTTGCTTCCATTTGGCGCGCGCGGTCTTTCTCATTTTCTCCGTGTAAACAGCAAAAAGTTCATTCACACTTGTTTTGCTCGCGTATTTGCACTTACAATTATCAAAACAGTTCGCGCTGTTTTGTTGTCATAAAAAAGTTCGCCCACTTGTTAAAAACTTGTTCCGGAAGGTCTCTTTTTATACAGACGAAAGCATCAAATATTGCGCGATCTTTCTGCATCTACGATAATAATACGTCAGTATGCTTCTATTATGGATCGTTAATATCTTATTACGTCTATTCGATCGTTAACTTATTCCGAATCAAAAGTATTAACTTGCTTTGAGTCATGCACCGCTACTTTTCAAATCATCGTGTAATATCTTTTTTTTGTTCTTTCTCAAACAATAGGGCCTTCCAAGGTACAGAACAAAATGCATTGAAGATATATGGACAACGGCAAAATAACTGTTTATAAAAGTATGATAAAATTGTGTGCATATATCATTTATTTTTACTTATTCTCCTCTATGAAGAAAGGTATTACCTGAGGAAGGAACCATTTTGTTTCTTTTCTTTCATACGCTAAACCGTATCGCGCAAGACGAAGCGTCAAGAGAGCACAGAAATTGTTTTATGCGAAGATTTACAAATATTAATATCCCTTGCATGATTTTCAAAAAAACTCTAAGATACTGTCGGAACCTTTCGTCGTATATCTCGTTCTTATCGATTACTAACGAGCAATTACTCGAGCAAAAGTGTCGATATTGATTATTATAATGATTTTGCTGAGAAAAATAATGATGGTTATGATGGTGATGATGATGATGGTGATAATGGCGATAATGATGACGATGACGGCGGCGATGATGATGATGGTGACGGCGACAGTGACAACAACAATGATAATGATGACGATGACGATTATAATAAGACTGAAAGTGATATTCATGATAATGGTGTCGACTGCGATGCAAACATTTCCTGTTTTCCATGGCGTTGTTAAATCCTGGCAGTGAAAAACGAGTTAACATGAATGGCGACCATGTATATCTTGGTATATACGAAAGATTGTTTGCTCTTGGTGAAGATAACATTTGGGCCAGATTTGGCCTTATTCGGGATCACCAGTTAGCCATGCCAGGTTTATTTAATGTCATGAAGTAAATCTGGCACGAACTTCCACCTTTTGCCGATGAGAAAAATACCTGAAATACAAAAACAAAACATGTTACACTAAGCTGTAAGTATTCTTTCTACACAAGTTTTATGTACAATACATTTTCCCATCATTACAAAAATAATGAAAATATTTGACACAGTAATTCTCTTCATACTATATACATACCTTATCGTTACGTTCGCAGAGGAACTTGAGCCGTTGAGCTTTCTTGTGCATGAATACACCGTCGAGGTGCCCACTCTCTACGCTTCTAATCTCAATAGCTTTATTACCCCATCCCATAATTTGCCCTGTGCCAATATAGGCAACACTCGTAGGCATCTCGCCCCATTGAAGGACCATAGTTTTGGAAACTCTACCATAAGTGTTTACGTATACACCTTCATTGTCATAACACAACAATAGCTGCATACCATTACTATTAGGTAATGCGACAATGCAATGTGGACAAATAGGACCCTGAGTCTGTAATTGAAAAACATACTCTTATTACAATGTAGAATTTAATTAACTGTTTTGATGTTTTTGATTGCTGAAAGTAATCTTACATGTTTTGGTAGATAAATATCGTAAACGGTGGCAGAATCCAAATCAACGGCGTGAAAACCATCGGCACTACCATAAATAACCTTCAATCTTGTACCTTCTTCTATAGTAAGGTCGACAAGAAGTGGTCTATGTGCTAGTTCGCCGAAGGATTTAAAAGCCATAAATTTGTGGTATGGTTTTGGCGCCCATGCATAGATTTCTATGGAATCCTTTAGCGCGATGACCAGAAACTTTATTCTTTCGTATTTGACTATTTTGAAATGTACCGCACCTTGAAGGTCGCCAACGTTAATCCAACCATTACGTCGTTCCACTTGCTGTAAAATTGTGTGAAACAATACAGTTATTTATTTTAATATTTTAACATCTCTGTACGTCAATAGAAAGTGAAGTGATTGAGGTATATAAAACTTACATCACTATGTCCATCAGTTCTTAAAATCTTACTTTTCAACCAGGAAAGATAATACACCCGTACTCGATTCTTTTTCCCACTAATTGTAACCAAAATATTTTGACCTTCAAGAACTTCCATTTGTTGAAATCGTCTTCTACTTATTAATTGATAAACTTTGCCTTGTCCACTTCTATCCAATAACATAAGACCATTCTCCGTACCGATTAATAAATTTACCCCTGTAAGCATGTGAGTATCAAATTCAGTACCTGTTACATAAGAATTAGGGGATTTTATGATTTACTTACCCCATAACGCAGCACAAAGAATTTCACTGTTGAAACGTTTCTTGTATTTGCGTATTTCAGGTGTGTCAGATGCAAGATCATGACTGGTTGGAGTTACATTAACATTAACATGAGATTCCCTCCTGGCTGGTCCAGCACCGAATCCAAAAGTCAGGAAAGATCTCTGCTTCTGTTGAAGCGCAAATGGAGGTGGTGATTTAACTGCTTGGCGATACTGTAACAAAACATATTTTGAGATTTTGCTCAAACATAAAGTTCATGTTAAATAAATCAAAACAGTAAACAAAGAGTTATAATACTTTAATTAATAATACTATGAAGAAAAACAGTATAACGTTATTAAAAAGAAAATTAGAGAAGATATAGGTAGATTTACGTAATAAAATCACATGCAGTTAGAATATATAAAATTCACACCAGAAAATTAATAAGGAAAAAAGATATTTCATATGTTACAAAGAAATATTAAACGTATTATACTAAGTTTCATGAAGAAACCATTCAAGAGCTACATTAGAAATAAGATATAATGAACTGAAAGGTACATCAAACTGTTATGAATTCTTTCAACTAATTCTACAAGAAAATTCAATAGTCATACATAGTAATGTAAGCATACAAGAGGTAATAATTGATATAAAAAGAAAATAATATTACAGTTCTACTTCAACTGTTACAAGTTTAGGATGTAACAAAGGGAATAAATGTTTCAGAATTAATTACTTCCAGTTTTTTTGTTAATGTTATTTAACTCTTAAGTGATATGCAAAAACATGCTTGGTGTTTATTTGATTCAGACACTTCTGCATAAAACAGTGCTTTATTAGATTATTTAAAAAATCACACAGGTCGTTATATTAAATACCTTGTATCAAATTTACAAGTTTCACTGGTCTTTGACTACTTATTAGTAGTTATACTGAAAAAGAGAAGTGGAAAAGGAAGGGAGGAGCAAACTCATCAATAATACTACCTAGCAGGCCCATGTCTAATTGTTAAGGATAGAATTGGGTCAAAGCAATGATGGGCATTAGAACAATCTCTTGGAGCAAAATGATATGCTGTAAGCCAAACAAATACAATGCATCACACTGTCTTACATCACTACCATCTTGTTTCATCTTCATTTCTTTGGGCATATTTATATCTACAATAGGTATATAACTTTTTATGAATTATAATACGTAATTGATAGATACCACTGGTTGATCGTACCAGTAAAATTGAAAGATCAACAAAATTTCAGAGAAGACGTTCAAATAAAATGTGCACACTGTCCTTGCTTGTTTGGATTACAAAATATCACACTGTTTTAAGATTGCCCTGATGTTTGTGTTCCTGATACACAATGACTTGCAAGAAAGAAGCCAGGTTTTACGGTTGTGATCCCTCTGTGATGAGATGTGCAGAGAAAAACAAGCACAAACACTAGAAAAGATTGCAATATAAAGGAACAAATGGAGCAAAGAGAGACATAAACAAAGATAGAAATAGAGACAGTGAGCGAAGGACAGGTGAGATAAGTGGACACAAGAAACAATAGAATCATCGTATCACAATTGATATCATAAGCTTCATTGATTTGTGTGGTACCAAGGGCAAGATATGAAAACCAAAACGAGGACAGCATGAAAACTGGCATTCCATACACGATGCACGATAAACAGATGAAATATTAAGAGAAATAGAAGAGAATTTTGTGGTTATTTCGTCCGCATACGAAGAAACACATTCTCCTCCACTAAACATATTATGTATCGCAAAAGAAGGCAGAAAAGCAACACTGAATGGTAAATCGATATCGAATGGGTACTTACATTGCAATTAGTATTGGGATTGGAATGGTCAGTAGAAAGGGCCCTGCTCTTCGGATTAAAGCTCCCACGTGTCCCACAACACACAACAGAATTCTGAATTAGTCACGTTGACAGACGAAATGGGACTGTTTTGTGCGGGGTTTTCGTGTAAAATACAACGGACAAAACGATGATTCGAGATTCAACGATTTGCGTACATCAGCCACCGAAGCACTTATACAATTTTGTGCTTTTCAAAAATCAAACAATCCTTCCAAATGGTGTTCAAGTATATCCCAATTGCATAACTGCATTTTTGTCCAACTCAAGTTCTCTTTAAATTTTCTTTCGTAATCGTTATAAACCAAAATATAATACTAAAACAACCGAGCTATATTGGAAGCACGATTAATTGACAGGGTGATCAAGCCCTTCACTGCGACCTCCGTTGTGTGGTAGAAAAAAAGATCTATGTGCTATTGTGGTATGTACTAATTCAATTAAATATACTTTAAGTATATTTTTATTTCCTTGGGAATGTCATTGAAATTTATGATTGGAGTATTTGGGATGGGTTCAAACATGGATTATATTAGATCATCCCATAATTTATTTGTTGAGTTCTAGTGTATCCGCCGATTCCGGTATCGATGGTTCCCAATATCCGCGGTTCATATTAACCAAGATTTTTACTGTTCACGATTTCCAATATCCACGGTCCCAATATCCAGGGTCCCAATATCCACGGTCCCAATATCCACGGTCCCAATATCCACGGTCCCAATATCCACGGTCCCAATATCCACGGTCCCAATATCCACGGTCCCAATATCCACGGTCCCAATATCCACGGTCCCAATATCCACGGTCCCAATATCCACGGTCCCAATATCCACGGTCCCAATATCCACGGTCCCAATATCCACGGTCCCAATATCCACGGTCCCAATATCCACGGTCCCAATATCCACGGTCCCAATATCCACGGTCCCAATATCCACGGTCCCAATATCCACGGTCCCAATATCCACGGTCCCAATATCCACGGTCCCAATATCCACGGTCCCAATATCCACGGTCCCAATATCCACGGTCCCAATATCCACGGTCCCAATATCCACGGTCCCAATATCCACGGTCCCAATATCCACGGTCCCAATATCCACGGTCCCAATATCCACGGTCCCAATATCCACGGTTCCAATATCCACGCTTCTAATACCCACGCTCCCGATATCCACGGACCCCGATATCCACGGACATCGATATCCACGGACCCCGATATCCACGGACCCCGATATACACGGACCCCGATATCCACGCACCCCGATATCCGCGGACCCCGATATCCGCGGACCCGGATATCCACGGGTCCCGATATCCGCGGATGCCACGTCCGTGGGTCCCGATATCCGCGGATCCCACGTCCACGGGTCCTGATATCCGCGGATCGCGATACCCGTGGACCTTGGTATCCACAGACCTCGATATCCACGGTTCCGATATCCACGGACCTCGATACTCGCGGTACCCTTGACACTAACGCAGAATCCGATATCCACGTAAAAAAGGTCACCATCCACACATAATGTGAAATTATTACATACATATATATGATGAAGAATGAGGATAAATGTACACTGATGAAAACTCTTCATATATGACATTATGGGATGACCTAATAATATCTTCTGGAATTAAGAAGGTAATGGTCACAGCGTACAGATATGATTTTCCAAATCATGATGGACAGACATAACCGATGATCTGATAATTTAGGACATGTTCTCAACAAAATAAAGATTATATATTTGGAAACTATATGAGTAAAACTCCATTTATCTGAAAATTACTTCATACATGACCGTTTAATCCTCAATTCATTTCATCATGGAACCAGTAAAGAGAGATTGATATCATTTGTACAGAAATGAATATGAAATTTCTCTCATGAGCTTTTTGATGTTGTATTATGATATAGTTCATCGTAAAGCGTAAAAAGGAAAATTAGAATTGAAGGTTCAGAAAGACTTCAGGTCCGAAATAAAATGTTTGTAATTCAAAACCTTGTAATTTAGTTTTAAAATGAACAAATATTTGATAACATTCGTTTTAAAAATACGTGCTCTACAAATGAATGTGACGTTTCATAAATATGTTTCATCCATCAGTATAATTAGAATTTAAATTAATTTCTTCAGATAAATGGAGATTCACTGCAACGTTTGTCTCATGCATTTCTTTTTTCGTATGTTTAAATTTAACACGAGTATCTTGAAATTGAATTGTCGCCACGTCCGTGGGTCCCGATATCCGCGGATCCCACGTCCACGGGTCCTGATATCCGCGGATCGCGATACCCGTGGACCTTGGTATCCACAGACCTCGATATCCACGGTTCCGATATCCACGGACCTCGATACTCGCGGTACCCTTGACACTAACGCAGAATCCGATATCCACGTAAAAAAGGTCACCATCCACACATAATGTGAAATTATTACATACATATATATGATGAAGAATGAGGATAAATGTACACTGATGAAAACTCTTCATATATGACATTATGGGATGACCTAATAATATCTTCTGGAATTAAGAAGGTAATGGTCACAGCGTACAGATATGATTTTCCAAATCATGATGGACAGACATAACCGATGATCTGATAATTTAGGACATGTTCTCAACAAAATAAAGATTATATATTTGGAAACTATATGAGTAAAACTCCATTTATCTGAAAATTACTTCATACATGACCGTTTAATCCTCAATTCATTTCATCATGGAACCAGTAAAGAGAGATTGATATCATTTGTACAGAAATGAATATGAAATTTCTCTCATGAGCTTTTTGATGTTGTATTATGATATAGTTCATCGTAAAGCGTAAAAAGGAAAATTAGAATTGAAGGTTCAGAAAGACTTCAGGTCCGAAATAAAATGTTTGTAATTCAAAACCTTGTAATTTAGTTTTAAAATGAACAAATATTTGATAACATTCGTTTTAAAAATACGTGCTCTACAAATGAATGTGACGTTTCATAAATATGTTTCATCCATCAGTATAATTAGAATTTAAATTAATTTCTTCAGATAAATGGAGATTCACTGCAACGTTTGTCTCATGCATTTCTTTTTTCGTATGTTTAAATTTAACACGAGTATCTTGAAATTGAATTGTCGTAGATCGGTCTATGTAACAAAAATCCGATTCTAAATCTATAATTGTGCAAAAGTAATGCTATGATAGTAATGAAATAACCTACGAAGCGTTCAATGATAAATCAAACGTAGAAATTGCGATCAAAGTATCTCTTTTTCCAAGTGACTTTTAACAATACACAGAACAAAAATACTATGTGTGCGTAATGAACTCAGTGATGACTAGACTGCGCATGCTTACGCAATTAAAATAAATTAAAACAATTAAAACCGTACTTGACAATCTTTTATATTATTTTTAAAACTTACAGTTATTTATGTCCCGATCGTAAATACGGTAAAATGTGGAAAAATATTGTATTTTCAGAATCGTCTAGCAAAAAATATTTATTTTCAGATCTCACTACTGTACATATTTCTCGTACAAATATTTGTATAAACATCCGCAGTCCAATCGATGACTAAAAGAAAAGCAAAAACTTTAATCTAATTCACTGTTCACATTTGCCAGAAAAAAGAGCAATACGACACGAAACGATATATATAAAAAAAAAAAACATAACATCGATCACAGAAGAAGACAAAAAAGATTTAAGCCTCAAAACTGTAATAAATTCTACCGAAAAAAGCAGTACTTTGTATTTTTATAAGTATCTTGTCTAACGTTTTTAAATCAAAGAAATCTGATCGTGTGTGATATCGGGCTTTACAATTTACCGCTTTTCCTCGATAGTGGCTGTGTTCATTATTCTTTTTAATGCACTGGAAATGTGAACATACGAATGACGTATATTCAGTGAAATCACCAATGCTTAACAATCTAACAAATAAAGGTCTTCATTTTCTTCTAATATCGATTTTTGCAAATTTGTAGAACAGGTAATACAGTAAAAAGCTCCTTATATTTTATACTTTTTACTGGTTTTATACTGGTTTACAGACTGCAAGGTTTTATTCGAATCAGGAGAAAATTGTTGAATAACCTTTTTTGTTGAGTCAAATGCGTTTAGGTTCGTTCACATCAACGTACAGTAAACGTGGCAGGAACTGGTAATTTTGTTCAATGTATTTGGAAAGATTTTATTGTTGTGTTGTTAGCAATATATGAAGATAAAGGCTGAATGTTGTTGTCATAAATTTTGGTGGATTATTAATTTCTGAATTAAAAAATTGTAGATTTCTCTAATTGCAAAATTCTAATTTGAAAATTAGGAAACTTAAAATTTCTATAAACCAAATTTGTATAATTTCTTTTTATAATTTGAATAATTGAATAATTTCTTTGTATAATTTGAATAATTGAATAATTTCTTTGTATAATTTGAAAATTTCTACAAAACTTAAAATTTCCAAATCACCAAATTTGTCAAATTCCAAAATTCCAAATTTGCAAGTCCATAAATGTGAAAATTGGAAAACTTGAAATTTCCATCAACTAAATTTCCAAATCACCAAATTTCTCAAATTGCAAAATTCTAAATTTTCAAGTCCATAAATGTGAAAATTGGAAAACTTGAAATTTCCATCAACTAAATTTCCAAATCACCAAATTTCTCAAATTGCAAAATTCTAAATTTTCAAGTCCATAAATTTGAAAATTGGAAATTTGAAATTTCCATCAACCAAATTTCCAAATTTTCAAATTTCTCAAATTGCAAAATTCTAAATTTTCAAGTCCATAAATGTGAAAATTGGAAAACTTGAAATTTCCATCAACTAAATTTCCAAATCATCAAATTTCTCAAATTTCTCAAATTCCTCAAATTCCAAATTTCCAACTTCACAAATTAAAACATTCCTATACCCCAAATTCCAAATTACCAAGTTCCAAAATTAAAAATTCCAAACTGTAATATATTCTCAATTTCCTTCCCTTTAATTAAAAATTGCCTAGACCCGCAGACGTTTAATGTCTGTGAATAAGAACGAACCTTGAAACGTATATAACAGCGCATTAAAGTACAGGTACAAAGGTAAGATAAAAATCAGATGGAAATAGGATCTAACCTCTTCGCTGGTACTTTTGTCCTGTCGTTGACCCGGTGATGAAGTGAGGAGATCCGGCAACACGGAGCTAGGTCGAGAACCAGGGGATGAATCTGATCTCTGGAAATCAGCTCCACCGCCTGCGCCCCTCGGACGATCGCTACTTTCTCGATTCTGTAAAGGAATCGATTTACGTTTAAATCGATTATTTCACCACTGGCCGAAGATCAAACAAAACGAATGTAACGAAATCTGCTTGAAGATTAAGACCTGAATTTTTCTCCTCTATACCTTCAATTCGATGTTTCTAAACTATTATAACATAAATCTGTATCAAATATTACAAACGTAAAATTGTTTAATGATTGACATTTTAAATGAAGTTAGGCAACTTGAAATTTACAGGGTACATGCAATTCAAGCTTAACTCTAATGTGGTGAGACAAAAAAAATTAAATTAAATCAAATGAAGCATGTAAGCTTAATGTAATATGGTTTTGGAAGTTTCAAAGATTTCAGCTTTTTTAGAGGAACTGCATATTTCTTTGTGAATCGATTCTTCTGAACGTTCTCTATAAGAGAGTATCAAAATACCATGTTAAAAAATTTATTTCGTACGAAAAACAGAATGTGCAAAATATTAAATATAATTTAAAATACTAATACTTTTTGTAAACCGTCCTGAAGAATCTACGTACAAGAAATATACAGAAATGTCCTTGAAATCTTTGAAACCTTCAAATGTTCTTCAAGTCATGTGTCTATCCTGAAAAAAAATTATTAAATGTTACAATAAAGATGAACAACGTTGAAAATTTCTGGAACTGCAGTCCCTAATGTCAATTGATTTCCTCCTTGTTTCATCATCAAACGCATAAATTGAAAAATGATAAAAATCCCAGTTGGATCCAAAATTGTACTTTTGTCCAGTCGAACTTGACATCGCATCCATCTTCCAGAAGAATCCAGGAAGCATCCATCTTTGTAAATTCGTGGAGATTACTTCAAGATGTTTCTCTGTTCATTCGTCGCCCTCCTGATTAATAAATGATCAGATATGCAAAGTTTATAGCCTAATACCTTTGTATATCCACTCGGGTGCAACATAGGTCTCCTTTGAATAAGGGTGTGGAAGGGTGAGGGGGAGGAGTGTCTCACCGCTTGCCTTTGATCTTAGGAGAGCATAGGGAGAGCCTAAGGAGGGCCTAACTTTATGTCCTTATGTGTACATATGTATAGCTATGTACGCAAAGAGGGACGCGTAAGGCGAATGGTGTTATTCCTTCCCCTACACTTCAAGGGGGATTTGTACACTGATTTGTATGGACGTACGTGATTTTTTAGACAGAAAATGCTCTACAAAGTAGTCTGATATTTTTCAAGTTTTTAAATTTGGAAATTTTGTTACTTGATGGAGGACTGGGAAATTAGAATATTTGAGAAACTAGAGAATTTGACAAGGTCTCAAATCGTCAAATTACTGAATGAAAAAATTTGTAATTTTAGTAATTAGATAAGAAAAAATTGAGTAATTCGAACATTACAAATTTAGCAATTAGAAAATTACAAAATTTTTTTCCTAATTTTTTAGCCATTGTTCTGAACCATTATTTTCTGTCGTCACATAAAAATATAATAAATAATTTAAAATTGCCATAAAACATCGAACTTCAAATTACACGTACAAAAAAATTTGCAAATATCTATAGTCTTATTTGCAAATTCTTTATAGTCCTACAAATCCCCCTTTTAACTCAGATCATCATCCTTTGAGAACATTAAACATGAAATTTTATTAGATTAACTTGTTACGTCAAACTTACTAAATAAAACTTGCATTGTTAATACAATTAAATAACGCAAGCTCCAAAAAATTAATCTCAAATTTAGTGCCCTCAAATTAGTACATTGAAATGAGTTAAATAAGAAAAATCCAAATGACACGCGACAGCAGCTCGATAAATTTATATTTAATTTAACACGTTCGCTATACAACATCCAGCTAGAAATTCTGCCATCGTGAATCATTTCTCCTTTCATAAAATAAAATATAATTTCTCGCCATCTGTTAAAGGATATAAAATTGTAGTGCCGTATGGGAAATCGATGGCGTCACACACAGGGTGTCTCAAGTAATATCTCCGAAACGACGGAAGATAGAAAAAACTTTTATGAAATAAAATTAAACTGTATTCAATATTACATCATGTGATACATATATCAGAAGGTTAATTTCAAAGATCACTGCTTTTTAAACACAACTATATTTGCAAACTGATTCTTTAAAATATTCTACGTAAAACTAGAACTTCTACAAAAAAATAGTTCGCGAGATATTTTGAATTTTCGAGATATTTCAATTTGGACTCAAAATATCTTGCAAACTATTGATTTTTTAAATGTTACACCTTCACACTTTTTTACTGGAAATATTTCAAAGAATTTATTCGCATAGGAAAAAATATATTATTACATTTAAAAAAATTTTAATCGACTGTTAAAATTTTAATTGACCTTAAAATTTTTCAAGTTAAAATTTTCGAAAAACTTCTACAACTATAGTATCACATAACATGTTTGACACTATTAAATTTTCTTCCCTGAAATTTTGTTCTATCTTCCACCATTTTAGAATTATAATCAGATCCATCAGACACCCTGTATATCCGTCAACAGCGAACGTGTTAAATGGCACACAAATAATTCTACAAAATTTGATGAAAATTATAAATAAGCACCTGAGTCTTATTACTGTCCTTTGTGACCTGTTAAACGATAGATTAACACAAGAATACTGCATAATTATTCAAGGAAAAAGGAATGAACGTAGTTTTAGAAGCATACAAAAGAAATACACATTATCGTTATAAGAGATTTTTTAAATGACGTCATTAACGAAGAGTGGTTAAGTTGCGCCACCTTCTTTTGCATTAAACATTATTCACCTTGTACATCATAAAAGATCTTAACGGCTCTGTCCAGCGTTGCCAACGAAACATCGTTTTAAAATTCAGGTTTTAATACCATCAAGCAGACTGCGAATTAATAAAAAAGAGAAAAAAATTCGTCAAACATTAAATGGAAAAATCGATAGATATAAAAGGAGCAGAGAACGAAAACGGAGAGGGACATTGTATGAAATGATAGGCAACGGGATCGTAGAGTACTAAAAAAAAAAGGTGCAAGCAAAAAATGGGGAAAAAACAGATGAAAATGGGTGTAAGAAAGCAATAGATGAAGTAATTACTCAGGCAAACATGGATAACCTGACTAATTCAATAAATCTATACATCAGTACTAACGATAAGCTTAAAATACTGAAAATAAATATTGAACATTTCTTTCATACGTACACGAACTAATAAAAGAAAAGTTAACTCGACAAATCTGTACATCGCTAAGCTTAATTCTGTGGTTCGTACAGAGAAAAAAAAGAATGTCCTTATACGCTTAAATTGTAAAAATACACACAGTGCAGAACACAAATAAAATGCATTCATGCATAATATGGATCAGTGAATAAAAAACGCTTCGACGTTCGATATCTACTACACAGCTAACACATGTAAACAGTAGTACATACGTATCTGAAAATAACAATAATGGAAGCATAGAATAAGCAGCTTTTGTTCTTTGCACTCGTCAAATTAGTAGAAGCGTGCAACATGATAAAATATCAAGATTCGTATATGAAGATATCGGTTGTACATTCGTTTGTAATCACAGGATGTTAAAAAGAGAGCGGTTCGAAATTTTTAGGAGTTCGGAATCTCGGTATTTCCCTGCGCCAGGGGCTATGGCGGGAAATTAAGAAAACTCCTCGCTTTAGAAAATTTCAGATCTTTCTTTTGGAGACCCTGTAACTGTAATTCATAATGTATCAATAGGGAAATTATCTAGAAAGAAAATACCGAGGTTCTAACGTAGTATTTAGAAAATAGAGAGAAAAATTTTATTTTGAAATATGAAACCTTGATTGATAAAAATGGATTGAAATTTTAATTAATAGAAATGAATTGAAACTTTGATTAATCACTGCTTGTTCAGAATTGAAAAAATGAAATAAACTAATTTAGTGTACAATTTCATCTTGTAAATTTTTCCTCCATTTTATGAGTACTAACCTAAAAATTCCGACCTTTTTTTTAACACCCTTTCGCATAACTGTTATCTTTAACGCAGTACATTTTACCTGAAATATAAAATATTCTACTACCACGTACAAAATATTTTGCACAAAAAAGAAACCAAATAAAAGTGACACACATGGTGAAACTTTTTTGGTGAATGAAATCAGTAATTTACAAATAAATAATCGCTTAAACTAAAAATTACAACAGCGAACCGTTCAAAAATTATATTAAACGATAATGCATTATATTTTAACAAATAATATTTAAGATAAGTATTATATACTTCGGATGATTGAGAAAAATGTCTTAAAATGGTGTTCGGCATAAATGTTCAGATGTGGAAGTAAAAAATCGATTATACATAAATGACCAAGCGCAATTAAATTAAATAATTTTATCATTTCTAGTGGTGTAATTATTGCATCGTATGAAATATTCGATTTCGAAATATAGAAAGTTTTATATGATTTGATGATATAAAGATTGGGTCGGGTCGAGTCGGGTAAAGTCGGACGGGTTCGGTCAGCTACGAAATTTGAAACTTTTACATTTTAAAACTTTGTGAATTTGAAATTTCTATGTTTCTAAATTTGAATATTTGTAAGTTTTGACAATATATTATCTTCAAATTTATAAATTTGAAACTTCTGTACTTGAAAAACTTGAAATTTACATTAAAAAATTTGAAATATTTATATTGAAAAGTTTGAAATTTCCACATTAAAAAATTAAAAATTTCTGCATTAAATGAAAAATTTCTATATTAAAAAATTAAAAATTTCTACATTAAAAAATTTGAAATTCTCTTCGTAAAAAACTTCAAATTCTTTAATTTCAGAATTTTTAATTTTTTCACTCGAGAGTTCAAAATGTCTAAACTTGAAGTATTTACATTAAAGAATTAGAAATTTCTAAACATGAGAAATTGAAATTTAAAAATTGGCAAATTGCAAAATAAAAAAATTTGCAATTTCTAAATTCCTGTACTACAAAATCATATTCCAAAGATTCGATTTGTGATTCGAGCCAGTTCGATTTTCC